GCCCATCTCAAAGCTAAACTAGGCTAGGCTGTTGCAGGTTCTAGGCTTACGTCAGATCTCACTAGACTTACGATCTAGGTCCACCCTAGTAGGCCATAGTGCCAAACCTATCCCATGGACTGAGACTCCCAACCCTGCATACCCAGGCCCATCACTGAATTCAGGCTCCAGATCTGCCCCAGAACCGGGTCAGCCCCTGTAGACTCAGGCCCATCCCAGCACTTGTGGATGCAGAATCCAGGCTTACCCTAGCAGACCCACCCTAGTTCACCTCAGTGGACTCAGTCTCCAGGCTCAACCTGGTAGATCTAGGTACCAGACCTGTCCATCTGCTGATCCAGTCACCATGCCAACCTGCCTGAGGACTCCATCAGCAAATTCACATGTGAACCACACAAGAAGACCTGCCCAGAATCTCTGGACAGGCTGAAATCAGTCTTTAAAGATTAGAATAAGGCTGGGAAAGATGGTCATGTCTGTAATTCCACCACTTAAGGAGGCCAAGGTAGGAGGATCACTTCAGGTTACAAGTTTGAGATCAGCCTGAGCAACATAGCAACATCCCATCTTTCCAACAAACAAGAAAATTTAGCCAAGCATGGTGGCATATGCTTTCAGTCTTAGCTCCGTGGGAGACTGAGGCAGGAGAACTGCTTGACCCCAGGAGTTCAAGGCTGCAGTGAGTTATGATAGCACTACGGTACTTCAGGCTGGGGAACAGAACAAGACCCCAACACTTAAAAAAAAAAGTTAAAGTAAGTGTCGCTACTTCTTCAAATGCACACACACCAACCCATGGCAACAAGGATTATGAATAATCCTTGAAATATGATAATACCCAAAGACAAAACAAAGTACCAGTAACCAATCCTAAAGAAATGGGGAGAATTCAAAATAATCATCTTTAACAAGCCTAATGAGTTAAAAGAGAGTACAGAGAAAACAACTAAATGAAACCAGAAAAAATATGCAAAATGAAAAGTTCAACAATGTGATAGAAACCATCTAAGAAACAAGTTCTGGAGCAATATAACATAATGACTGAACTGAAAAATTCCATGGAAAGTTTCATAAGCAGATTTAATCAACCAACAGATAAAAAAATCAGTGAATTCAAAGACAGATCACTGGAAATTACTCATTCAGAGGAATGAAGATAAAGAATGAAAAAGAGCCTACAGGAGTTGTATACTGTATACTATCAAGCGAAACAATGTACACATTATGAATATTCCGGAAAAAAGAAGAAAAAGAGAAAGGGATAGAAACCTTGAAGAAATAATGACAGAAAACTTCCCAAATCTGGAGAGGGATATAAATATCCAGATTCCATGAAGTCCAAAGAACCTCAAAAAGAGTAACTATTAAAAATTCTCAAAAAAAATTCTCCACTCAGACATTATAATCAAACTCTTAAAAATCAAAGAGAGAACTGAGTATGATGGCTCCCTGTAATCAATCCCAGCACTTTGGGAGGCTGAGGTGAAAGGACTGCTTGAGTTCAGGAGTTTGAGTTTGAAAGCAGTCTGAGTAACATACTGACACCTCATCTCTAAAAAAAAAAATTAGCTGGGCATGGTGGCATGTGGCTGTAGACTCAGCTACTTGAAAGGTTGAGGCAGGAGGATCACATCCTGCCTCAACCTCTAGGCCCATCTCAAAGCTAAACTAGGCTAGGCTGATATATCTAGATGTATCTATCTAGATGTATATATCTAGATGTAGCACAGAAACAAGAAAAGGTGCATTGAAAAGGGTAGGAGAGTTCACGTTACCCATATCACCCCTCACCCAACCCCAGACACCTCATCTCTAAACCCAGACACCTCATCTCTAAACCCAGAGACCTCATCTCTAAACCCAGACACCTCATCTCTAAACCCCAGACACCTCATCTCTAAACCCAGAGACACCCAACCCCAGACACCTCATCTCTAAACCCAAAGCTAGACTCTAAACCCAGAGACCTCATCTCTAAACCCAGACACCTCATCTCTAAACCCCAGACACCTCATCTCTAAACCCAGAGACACCCAACCCCAGACACCTCATCTCTAAACCCAAAGCTAGACTTGAGTCCAGGAGTTCCAGGCTGTGGTGAACTGTGATCATGCCACTACTCCAGTCTGGGTGACAGAGTGAGCCCCTGATACAAAACACAACAAAATCAAAGAGAGAAAAAGAAACTGAAAAAAAAAAAAAAAAAAAAAAAACCAAGCAAAAAGAAAGAGTATTTTGAAAGCAGAAGGAGAAAAGCAATTTATCACATAAAAGGAAACTGCCATAGGACTATGAGCAGAATTCTCAGCAGAATTCACACAGAAAAGAAAAGGGGATGAAACAGTCAAAATCCTAAAGGGAAGAAAAAAAGAAAAAAACAAAAACAAACCCTGTCCACTAACAGTACCTTATCTAGGAAGGCTGTGCTTCAGAAATGATTATTAAGGACTTTCCCAAACCAGTAAAACCTGTGGTAGTCCATTACCAGATCTGCCTTAGAGGAAATGCTAAAAGGAGTTTTTCAAAGAGAAAAAAAATAAGTGAGTTAGTAGTATAAAGTCATAAGAGTATGAAACACACAGATTCAGAATTTTCCAATATAATGGTCATGTCTAAATTAGTTATATTTGTATTAATGTTAAGACAAAACTATTAAAAATAGTAATAGCTACAATAATTTGATAAGGAATACACAATGTGAAAATATGTAAATTGTGACATCAGTAATAAAATTGTGGGAGTGAAAGTGTGGAGTTCTTTTCTATGCACTTGACATTTTTATCAGCTGAAAATAGATTGTTGTAGGATGTAGTATGTAAGTTCCTTGGTAACCACAAAGAAAAGTGGATAGATAAAAGATAAAATGGATTCAAAGCATACCATTACAGAAAATCATCTAATCACAATGACAGCAAGAGGTGAAGAAAGGAACACAGCATCTACAAAACAACCCAAAAGCAATGAACAAAATGGCAGTGATAAGTTCTTACCTATTACTAATTGCTATGAATATGAATTACTTAAATTCACCAGTCAAGAGACAAAGTGGCTGAACAGATTAGAAAAAGAAGACCCAAACATATGCCGCCTACAAGACACTCATTTCCCCATTGAGGACTCACATAGACTGCAAATGAAGGAATGGAAAAATATATTCCACACAAATGAACATCATAAGAGAGCAAAACTTGCCTTTAGTCCCAGCACTTGGGGAGGCGGAGGTGAGAGGATGGCCTGAGCCCACAGGCTTGAGACTGCACCTCTACAATAAATAAAAAAATTAGCTGGGTGTGGTGGTGTTTGCCTGTAGTTCCAGATACTTGGAAGGCAGAGGTGGAAGGATCAACTGAGCCCAGCAGGTTGAGGCTGTGGTGGCTGTGAGCAGCCACTGCATTCCAGCCTGGGCAACAGACTGAGACTCCAACCAAAAAAAAACAAAAAACATTGGACTCGCTACACAAATGAACCTAACAGATATATACAGACTATTCCATCCCATAGGAAAATAAACATTCCTCAGAAGTGCACAGGAAACAATTCTCCTTAATACGCTATATTTCTCCACAAAACAAACCTTAACAAATTCAGGAAAACTGAAATTATATCAAGTTTATTTTCTTTCTTTTTAGCTCATAGCAGCCTTGACCTCTTGGGCTCAAGCAATTCTTCTGCCTTGGCCTCCCAAGTAGCTGACTACAGGCATGCACTACCATGTCTGGCTTTTAAACATTATTTATTTTTGTACAGATGAGGTCTCACTAAGTTGCCTAGACTGGCCTCAAACTCCTGGGCTCAAGCAATATTCTGTCATCTTAGTCTCTCAAAGTGCTGGGACTATAGCTGTGAGCCACTGCGCCTGGCCTTCAAGTTTATTTTTTGACCACAATTATATGTTAATAACAAGAAAGATTTTAAAAAACCCACAAGTATGTGGATATTAAATAAAATGATCTTGTATATTCAACGAGTCAAAGAAGAAATTAAAAGGGAAATTTACAAATATCTTCAGACAAATGAAAATGCAAACACAACATGCCAAAATTTATTAAAAAAATGATCAAAGTGAAGACTTAGATTTTTGGAAAAGTAAAATTGAAATCCTCTAGTTAAACTAAGAGAAAAAAGGAGACCCAAGTAAATAAAATCAGAAATAAGAGACAACTGGTATCACAGAAATACAAACAGTTTAAGAAATACTATGAACATCGTACGTATGTAAGCTCATATCTGTAAATTCCAGTACTTTGGCAGGCCAAGGTGGGAGAACTGTTTTGAGTACAGCAGTTCAAGGCTGGGCAACATAGTGACAACCAGACACACACACACACACACGTCAGATGCGGCAGTGGTGCATGCTTGTAGTCCTAGCTACTCAGGAGGCTGAATTGCTTGAGCTGAGGCTGCAATGAACCATGATTGCACCATTGCACTCTAGCCTAGACCCTGTCTCTACTTGAAAAAGAAAAACGAAGAAAGGTTGGTTCTGGCCAAAATAAAAAACAAAAACCAGCATTTCTCATATGTAGAAAATATATATATAATGGATAAAGAGTATAAGTACCTTCTACATGAAACCAATAGAAATATCCAGTTACCTACATGTTTTTATGTTTTTGAGTAGGAGTCTCATGCTGTCATCCAGGCTGGAGTGCAATGGCACAGTCATGGCCACTGCAGGCTTGACCTGCTGAGCTCAGGTGATCCTTCCGCCTCAGTCTTCCAAGTAGCTTCCACAGGTGTGCACTGCCATGACTGGCTAATTTTTTTATTTATTGTGGAGACGAGGTCTTGCTAAGTTGCCCATGCTGGTCTTGAACCCCTGGACTCAGGCAATCCTCTCACCTTCACCTCTGCCTCCCAAAGTGCTGGGATTACAGGTGTGAGCCACCGTGCCTGGCCATGTTATTTTTTAATGGCCACTTACTTATAGGACAATTTAAAAACTATATTAAAAATTAAACTACTTATACATAAGAAATATATTTCAATTCACTCATTACTTAAAAATGTAAACAGAAAAATTTTATTAACCGATTTAACAGGAAAACATTACCTATTATACTTTTAGGCTATTCCTTAAACAGAATGTATGGAATCATCTCACCATTAACAGGAAAACATTACCTATTACACTTTTAGGCTATTCCTTAAACAGAACGTATGGAATCATCTCACCATAACTTATCTTTGCAAACGTATGAAGTAGAACTCCATAGTACAGAGATGAACTTTAAGAATGAGCCACTGATAAAAACAATACACTTAAAACTCTTAGAACATTTGCTTTATGCTGTGAGTTTTCTGGGTCATTACACATGAATTTGCATTAGACTTTATATACTACTTATATTTATAGAATATCTCTCCAGTGGAAATGTTTACCTTTTTAAAGTTGTTAAAATTGAACTTTGCTGAATTTTTCACGTATTCAGTTTCTGTCCAGTGTACATTCTCATGTTTATATGAGGATGTGGATAAATTGAAGGCTTTTTCACATGACTTACATTCATAAGGTTTCTCTTCATTGTGAATTCTTTTGTCTTCTCAAATAACTAGGGTGAGTAGAAGTTTTCCTACATTGTTTATATTTATTGGATTTTTCTGCAGTATGAGTTTTTTCATGTTTTTGAAGACAAATGGAATAGCTGAAGGCTTTTACCACGTTGTTTACATTCATAGGGCCTTCTTTCCAGTGTGAGTTATTGCATGTCTTTGTAACAAACTGCGAGAAATACTTTCCCATATTCTTTACAATTAAAAGGTGCATCTCCATTGTGCGTTATCATACGTCTTTGAAAGTAAAGGAAAGTCTTTCCCACATTCCTTACATGCATAGGGTTTCTCCCCAGTGTGAATTCTTTCATGTATTTGAAGGGATCTGGGCAAAGTGAAAGCTTTACTGCATTTTTTACACTTACAGGACTTTTCTCCTTTGTGAATCCTTTCAAAAATTTGAAGAGAAAAGAGATGTTTGAAACTTTACCACACTGCTTACATTCATAAGATCTCACTCCAGTGTAAGTGCTTTCATGTGCAGATCTCACTCCAGTGTAAGTGCTTTCATGTGCTTGAAATGATTTGTGGTACATAAATGTTTTTCCACATTGTTTATATTCATAGTGTTTCTCACCAGGGTGAGTCCTTTCATGTTTGTGAAAGGATTGGAGATAAGTGAAGGCTTTCCCACATTTTTTACATTCACAGGGTTTTTCTCAAGTGTGTGTCCTTTCATGCCTTCGAAAGGAACTGGGATGACTGTAGGCTTTATCACAATCTTTACATTTGTAGGATTTCTCTCCAGTATGCATTCTCAGGTGTACTTGAAATACTGAGTGAAAACTGAAGGCTTTCTCACACAGCTTACATTCTGGTTTTTCTCTAGTATGAGTTCTTTCATGAACTTGAAAGGAAGTAGAACATAGGGTTTCTCTCCAGTGTGCATTTTTTCATCTATGTAAGAAATTAGGATAAATGAATGCTTTCCCACATACTTTACATTTATAAGGTGTATTTCCATTGTGCATTATGATGTGTCTTTGAAAGGACTGGAGATAACTGAAGACTTTCCCGCATTTCTTACATTCATAGGGTTTCTGAGTTATTCCATGAACTTGAAAGAAAATGGAACATATGAAGGCTTTACCACATTGCTTACATTCATAGGGTTCCTATCCAGGGTGACTTCTTTCATGTTTTTATAAGAAACTGAGGGAAATGAATACTCTGCCATATACTTTACATTTATAAGGTGTACCTCCATTGTGCATTATGATGTGTCTTTGAAAGGACTGGAGATAACTGAAGGCTGTCTCACATTGTTTACATTTATATGGCTTCTCTGCATATTTCTGACATTCATGTGATTTTTGTCTAGTGTGACTGATGTGCCTAATAAGGGCTAAATAGTGCATGAGACCATTCCACACACACAATATTCACATAGTTTTTTACTCCAGTATGAGTTTTCTTGTTCAGACTAAGATTTGGAGTCTGGCCAAATGTTTCTCCACATTGACTACCTCCTTTACTTCCACAGTCTTTTTCTACCATATGAGTGCTGTAAAAAATAAGAAGGACATTATTAATGATTTTGTATTTACTAATAGATATTAGCATTATATTTTTACTGTTTTCAGAGATTACATAGGTTTTCTGCCTTGTCTGAATGTATGAAAGTGAATGGACTGAATGCTCTGTAAGAGGGCTGGACCATAGTTATCATCAAAACAATGATATTCATATATTGTTTCTATTTCCAAGTGAACTATTTTGTAAACACTGAACATCTATATCACATTAATTGAATATTTTCAGTGAAAATTTTGTAAGATAAATAAATGTGAAGGTAGGCTTATTGGTTTTGTTTTCTTCCTTTTAAAATTTCATGATATACTGGGATTCTCTCTTGGGATACTGCTTTCTCTTGTTAGTACAACTCACCTTAGATGGTCACCTTGGTTTCTGTACCAGCCTTTAATGTTCTGATCTTTCCATTTTTTTCCCTGAAATGTAAACCAAGAAAAGCCATTATGAAATTACAGAAAAAATTATTACATTCTAAGTTGCTAAATAAATTTTTAAAAGACCAGACCTAAAGAATCCCCAAGCAGACAAAGTCAGTTAGGCCTCATAAGTGACCTTAACCTTGCTTGATTTATAAACATAAGCAAACCTGAACTTAAGCTATTTCTTGTAAATGTATACATTAAAAAAATAAACATAGGCTAACCAATCAGAAGGTTCCAACTAATACATTACTAGGAAGTTTCCAGTAATAAGCAACTCTATAACCATAACCACTCAAGCGTTTTCTTTGCTTTACTCCTGTGCTCACCCTACAAAAAGTCTTATCTCCTTGCACTGGCAGAGAGTCCGAAACTATCTCCGGTTTGGTACTTACTGATTCATAAATTGCTGTTTGCGCAAATAATCTTTAAATTTTTATGTGCCTCAGTTTATCTTTTAACAGTTCTGGAATTGGAAGAGGAATCTGTAGAAGCAGGATCCCAGAAAGCCATTCTCCACCCCACCATATGGATGCCCAGGAGTAATAAGTAACCAGGTTTAGGTAGTTGCTGAGTCTGTTGCACTCACTGCTTCATTGCTGCCTCTGGACATTCACAATGGTAGGACCCTCTCATATGTGAGCTCCACAACTTAAGCCCTGAGCTTTTCAACTTTGAGCATTTTTTGAACCTGAATGGGTCTCAGGTCCTACTAGATCCAACAGAAACTAGACTGGGTCCAATAAGAGGTCTACAAACTATACTGAGTTTAATATAAGCTCTCACATAAGTACAGTTTCAAGAAGACAGAGAATCATGGTCCAATATGAGTCCTCCATCTAGGAATCCAGCTGGTTTTATGTATAAAAATTATGAACTCAGAAACTGCTTTTTAGAGAAATGAGTGAAGTTTACTAAAGACTACAGAGAATTAGAGTAGCCACAGTGAGTTTTAATCTAACCAAAGTTGCTCACCTACAGAAAATATAGGAATAGAAGGGCTCTTGAATGTCTGAAAAACAATGAGATACATTTTCATGTGTGTCTAGGTGAGATGTCTGTAACCCACTTTATAAAGCGGTGTCTGTAACTCATTTTATAAAGCCTCAAAATTCCAAATTAAAAATGAAGGGCCAAGCACGGTGGCTCATGCCTCTAATCCCATCACTTTGGGAGGCAGAGGTGGGAGAACTGCGGAGTTCAGGGGTTCAAGACCAGCCTGGGCAACATGGCAAGACCTCATCTCTACAATAAATTAAAAAAATTAGCTGGGCATGGTGCCATATGCCTGTAGTTCCTGCTACTTGGAAGGCTGAGGTGGAAGGATCTCCTGAGCCCAGCAGGTCGAAGTTAAGGTGGCTGTGAGTGTGCCCCTGCACCCCAGCCTGGGCAACAGAGTAAGACTTCAACTCAAAAAAAAAAAATAAAGAAAAAAAAGAAAAAAGAAACATACTCATTCTCACATTTTATAAAATACTCTTTCCTTCTCTTTCTTAAAGAGTGTCTAGTCGCAAAGTTCTCATGTAATTGTACAAAACAAATGCTCTGGAATTCAAGACCCTAGCTGAAGCATTATAGGACTCAAATATGTAACTAAAAAATATTCATTTATTGAGGCTTTTGTAGAGATACAATTGATCTTTTAAAATTACTTTTTGTAGCAGCTAGAGTAATTTTGTAATCTTTTTGCAGACTATACTTGGTCAAATACCAGGGGTGCCAAAAAAATGTATATACATTTTTTTTTTTTTTTTTTTTGAGTTGGAGTCTCACTCGGTCGCCCAGACTGGAGTGCAGTGGCCACTCCTGGCCACCGCAGCCTCGACCTGTTGGGCTCCAGTGATCCTTCCGCCTCAGCCTTCCGAGCAGCGGAATTACAGGCATGCGCTACCACGCCCGGCTGATTTTTTGATTTATTGTAGAGATGAGGTCTCGCTGCCCAGGCGGGTCTCGAACCCGCGGGCTCAGGCAATCCACTCACCTCAGCCTTCCAAAGGCGCGGGATTACAGGCTGAGCCACCAAGCCCGGCTGTATACACATTTTAAGCGATATTTTATCTATGTATTATTTTTAGTTTGCAGTAATCAGAAGTGTCTGGACGCTGATGGTAACTGCTTTGAGCACCTCTTGTAATTGCAGAAGTCAAATGTGACTTGTATTCATCTTCTGTTATTGGTATAATTATAATTTTAATACACCTTTTTCTTTCTTAAAATATGTATTTTTTTTTTTGGCATCTTCTGTATTTATTAAATCTCTACAACATGTCAGACACTATTGATAGAGTAGGCAGGTTAGGTTGGGGAAAGAAATCTTAGGGCTGTAGAAAAGCTCCAAGCTCATTAACACCTGCAGCAGCTGTTGCAAAACCACACATGCAAGCAAGTTGCCTGGCTATAGATAATTTCACACCCAACTGTTAGATGCTTACCCAGCACACCTGCAGCATTTTAGTCCTTTTATCCATGATGCTTGCACAGCTGACCACTAAGGCAAGAACTATAGAGACCCCCTGGTCTCTCTGCACATCAATTGCCAAGGTTGACCTAAGATAACCATGACCCACATTTACCTTCATTACATGCTCATTATAGTATCACTGTGGTTTTACAAACTCTCCATCCACCAGGGTGACATGACAGTCCCAATATGACCCTACAAGGCCTGAAACTCCCATGCCTGATATGAGGGAGGATTAACAGAGCCTCAGCCCTAATACCAACCACTTCTAGGAAAAGCCCACCCCAAACTCACTCCTCAACACCCATAAGAATAAAAGTTATAGCTCAACAATTGTTGGGGGCAGAAATAGCAGTTTTCCATAGGACATTTCTGCCTGCTTTTTCTTTAGAGTGTACACTTCTCTGCTCAGTAAAGCTACTTGCTTATTCTGCTGCTCTCTGTTTATGTTTGTGAATTCATCTCAAATGTGAACATGAACCTGATGTCGATCATCTCATTTTGGAAGCAGCTTCCCTTCTTCTGGTAACACTATGATAACCACTTAGTTTCTAAAAAGAACCACTGACTACATTTTGGCTCACTTTACCCTTTGGTAATAAAAGATACTTTCTTTGTTTCTTAAGCAAAAAAATCAGGTTAATTCACTTTCTCAACTTCACATTTGTAGAGACGTTCAAGTACAAGAAACAACAAACTTTTCTTTTTTTTTTTGAGTTGGAGTCTCACTCTGTTGCCCAGACTGGAATGCAGTGGCCGCTCCCGGCCACCGCAGCCTCGACCTGCTGGACTCCAGCGATCCTTCCGCCTCAGCCTTCCAAGTAGCTGCAACTACAGGCGCACACTACCACGCCTGGCTAATTTTTTGATTTATTGTAGAGATGAGGTCTCGCCAAGTTGCCCAGGCAGGTCTTGAACCCGCGGGCTCAAGGCAATCTACTCACTGCAGCCTCCCAAAGGCGCGGGATTACAGACTGAGCCACCAAGCCTGGCTCAAACTTTTCAATGGAGCTAATAATGCAATCCTGCTGCAGTGACATTAAAAAAAAAAAAAACCAACAGTATGGCTTACTTACAACTAGGAAGAAAAAACACAGGAAAAGTTCTAAAGAAGAAACTTATAAATACTGAAATAAATTCAACTGGGTAATTCCAGAAGGCAGAACAAGCACCAAAAAGAAGTTACAGAAGTGTAGATGTCAGCTCAAAATAAAACAAATCCCTCACTCAAACAACCTAACAGTAGGTTTGAATACACAGCTGCTGTCATGACCACTTGTCTGCAGTATGGTAAACGCAACTGATACACTGAAAGGATGACTGGATTACTAGACACTCTAATGTACCTTTCAATGTGAATTCCATAATCAGTATTACTATTATGAATTTCTGATCTGACTGGATTTAGGAAGCTAAGTAGTCAAGATCAGGTTTCCTATTCCTGCTTTCTCCCTCACCTAAATGAGACAGCCCTTGGAAAGAGAAAATGGCAAGACACAGGGATGGGCTTTCCTGCTAGGGTCTCGCAGTGATTTGCTGCCCATATAAATTTGGGTTCCTCTCCTGCAGAAGCCCCTCCATTAAGAAAGCAAGTGTTATGTCCTGGAAATAACAAAGAAACAGAAGGTGGGAGACAGATATTCTGAGAGCAGGTGCATTTTCAGAAGGAAGCAGGAGAGTGGGTCCAGGTTTAAGGAATCCTGCATGGTGTTGGAGCATGGAAGTGAGGCAGGCCCAGCTATTAATAGCCTAGTTTACAGATAAACGCGCTTCCATTGGCAGGTGCAAGTTAGATATACGAGGAACAAGATAATTAGCATACAAATACCCTCTTATAGGAGCCTAACTCTTTCAACAGGCATCCCGCTGAGCAGGCACACCAGACCCGACCCTGGAATGAGGGGTAGCTGGTAAAGTCAATCACAAAGACCATAAACAAAGGCAATAGAAAGTTGCCGGGGATACCAGGGTACAGCACTCTAAGAGAACGCTTAAATAGCAACTTTTCCTATTATCTCAAAAGTTCTTCATGATACAAGCAAGCTTAGGAGTGATATGATAAGACTTGAAACTTGTGAACAATAGCTTGTTGTAACCCACAAATCTTATTAACTTAGAAAGTAGATTGCTTAATCATCATTTTGGACAATATATAAAGCTTTCTGCTAACAGAGAGCATGCCCTTTCCCTTAAGGCACCCATATTCTCTCTTGAATGTATGTTTTTCTTGCCTTCTCTAATAAACTACTTTAGGCTGGGTGTGGTGGCTTACACCTGTAATCCTAACACTTTGAAAGGCAGAGGCGAGAGGACTCCCTGAGCCCAAGGGTTTGAGACTAGCCCAGGAAACTTAGCAAGACCTCATCTCTACAATAACTTTTTTAAAAAAGTACCTGGGGGTAGTGATGTATACATGTTGTTCCAGCTCCTTGGAAGGCTGAGGTAGAAGGATTGCCTGAGTCCAGAAGGTTGAGGCTGCAGTGGCTGTGAGTGTACCGCTGCACTTCAGCCTGGGCAACAGAGTGAGACTGACTCA